TCCAAAGTCCTCCAGCCACAACATTGTGAATTCCTCAGAGAGGTGCCAGACTCATCCTCTTGTTCCTCCCCCGCGGCTCTGGTGAGCTAAGAAAATGTTTATCTCCCTGAGCTTGGCCTTCATAATTCCATTCCATCACAGCCTACTCTTCAAGGGGCTGCCTTGGATTTCAGACTTCCCCCTTCTCATTTAGCCTATTATTGTCTCATTGGATTGGCCCTGGCTCTTCAGGGCCTCACACACAGGTGTTTCATGTCACACACACACCCCTTTTAAAACAGGAGATGTTTCATGCCAGTTATGTATGTAATGACACCACATTCATACAAATATTCTCTCTCCTAGTTTCTCTCTCTTAGTTACATTTACTAAACACGAACATGTCTATTTACTAATTACAGCAGTTCTGCCATTTTTATCATACGTTTTCATCTTGTAGTCTTCCACAGATTGTTCTCCTTCCATAAGATCTATCAAGGGTATTCTAGTAAAATCGGAGCTGGTTTCTGTTGGAATTTTGCCTTCCATTGCTCTATAATAGTCATGCAGAAGTCTTTTGGTATCTTGGAAACGGTCCATTTCATTCTTCATGATATCCAAAGAAAGCAAAACAATTAATCTTCTTGTCCCTCTGGAAATGCATGACAATCTTTACAACATCTGCACATCTTTACTGATGTTAGAAAAATTGTATTCATAAAACAATCCCTTCCCATCTTTAAAATTTAGGTTCCAACATTTTAAGATCAGAGGAGCACAAGGGAGCTCTTTCTTGTGTGATGCACTATGTATTTGAGCTATATGTTAATTAAGCATCGTCTAACTAATACTGTTACTCGTATTGCAAGTTTATAGTACTGTAACTAAGCAAACAGACCTGACACAATCTAAACATATTTTAAAACCATAATTAAGAGAGCAGTCATGAGACTGCATACTCCATTACTTATCTGTATATGTGATTTCTCCCCCTTGACCTTAAAATATGGTTGTACTCCAACATTAACCATGATTAGTTTTAACAAACGTTTCCTACTCTATATGTTGTAAATAGCAGCTGTGATTAGGAGTTAATTAACTTAATTATTTGAGATTAGTATTGCTGAAAATACAGTGAATGCAAGACTAAACCATGGTATGTTGAGCAAGTCGTAATGGTCTTGTCTGTCTATAGATTCTATGGAAAAGAGCAAAAATATGAGTAAAGGCCCAAAACCATCTGGTTTGGGCCTAAACCACAATTTTCACTCTTTAATTCTTCAATTAACACTTTAGTTTCACTCTATAACTATGCTTAAATGCAACAAGAAAAATATGTCAAGTACAATTTGCCAGGTTCAGAGGATCTCTACATCTGAGATGAAACTTTATGCACCTGTCATGTTTTTGATTTATTATTAGACTAAAAGCCGCTAAATATATAACTGAAAAGCAAAACCAGTGCCATGATTCATGGGAAAATTCACAGAACCACAGTCTCAAAAGGGGAAAATGGGGGGGGGGGGGGGAGAGAGAGAGAGAGAGCGCGAGCGTGAGAGAGAAACCACCACAATGTAAAAATCCAGCTGAGTAGGACAATGATTAGGTCAAAAGTTTCAGCCTAAAGCCCTTAAATCTGTATCAGATCTCTTCTAGCTTCTGCCAAACAGAGATCCCAAACAGAGGATTAAAACAAGATAAGGAAAAAAATCAAGATAAGATCACATGGCAGTATCTGTCCTAGTGCTACTCATGGTATCAAACACATTTTTGATAATTTGTTGCATTTCTATCTAATGTTCTTCCTGTATGCCTCATTCAGGCTCCATTATGGGTCTACAGATGGTGACGCCAGCCCTGAGCTCCATCTCAAAGAGGGATTTCTGATATTGTTTGTACAGACAGCCTTAGTCTGACTTTCTGATACTGTTCATATGGATCAGGCACATGAAGTACCAGGATGCTTGAATCTGATCCTTTGAGATATATTAAGCAAGTATTGGGTTTCTCTTCCTTGGATAACTTCAAACAAAAGCTAGATAGATATTTGTTGGGGATGGCCAGGGGGTTGCATTTGATGGCCTATGTGGCTCTTTTCAATTATGATTTTATGCTTTTTCACTTCAGTGAATTTGCCCAGCAGCACAGAAAGAAGACATTCACCTTTAAGGATTCACACACTTTGGAAGGTGGGAAGGAGAGTAGGAGTAGATTGGTGGGATGTGTGTGTGTGTGTGTGTGTGTGTGTTGGTGTCTTATAATGCAATAGTCCACCTCCAAACATTGTTGAATCAAGTTATTGATTTGGAGCTCTTGCCCATGGCCTGCTTTGTATTGTGGATTCCTGCCCGGACAGGCAAAACTACCTAGTCACACAAAGCCAAGACTCTGTCAACAGTCTAAGAGATTAGATATGCCAGGGCTTCATGTGGTATTTGCAAGGCACAACGAAGATTGCAGTGACAAATGTGAACTGGTATCCAACGGACTGTGCTATACAACATGAATGTAACATGCATTTCCATCCATGCTGCAATGCAGATTTGAACCTTCATCTTCTATCTCTGTAGCTAGAGCTTTCCAGTACAACTGGATTATATAACTGCCACCTAATAAGACTCCAAGCAACAAATAGCACAGAAGTAGAAACCTATACATGTGAATAGCAAAAAATGCCACTATTAATTACATTAGCTATTTTGCTAATCACCTAGTTATTTCTAGCTTCAGTCAAAAGTTCATAACGCATGAAAAAGCAAAGCTCCTTCTACCATTTCAGTTTTATTCCAGACCTGAATAAGTGAAAAAATGTGGTTCATCAGAAGCCCAATTCGGTCTGGCAACCAGCCATCATTCATGATATCACAACGTTCTTGCTCAGCTTCATCTCTCCTGTTTTCACAGATATCCCACAGACGATCTCTTAAATCCTAAAAAGATTTTTTTAAACAAATATGTTCTGAAACATCAAACATGTTTCACCCCAATCCTCCCTGTCCCGCCTCAATAAATTAGGCTAAATACAATTCCATTGCAGATATTACTATGGTGCACAATTTTGTAATCCCAGGGTTACATGTGCTGGGACCAAGGACCACTGAAAAGTTGTAATCAAAATGCAATTTTAAATGTGACTTAAGGAGTCCAAATTAGTAGATAATGGAAACAAACCATATTAATCAATTAATCAAATTAAATATTTATGTTTACACTCAACTTAGTGGTCAAATGTGGTTCTCAGCCTGTAAAATATTGTGTATCCCTGCCTTATATGTACAAAACCATATAGGAACTTATAGCTGTTCACGGTTTTAATAAAACTGATACAAAGCCCTATTGTTACAAAATCTCAAAACAGATCACTACTTTCTCCATGATGTCTATACTGTCTGCAGTCTCTGCTTGCCAGAATTGTGGCTGTGTGCAAAAATAAAGGACTAGATGGGACTTTTTTGGGGGGGGGTAGGGGGTGGGAACAAAAGCTGCCAGAATAATCAGATGGATCTGGCATCTGCTATGGAAGATGGAACATTCATCACATGTAAAGGTCAGTATGTGAACTGGGTGCTTGATAAAGATTCTTTCTAAGGCAGCTTCCACCACCAAAAGCACTTCTAATGGGATGACAATCAGATTATAAACCTTGTTATTGGTTTTCTAAACCAGTTTTATGCTAAAGACTTTGGACCGTTCATCACACAGGGAGAAGAAACATGTTGATCTCCAAATCTTCAAGCAGCTTAAGCCAATAGAGCTGAAAGTAAGGGATTGTGGAAATGGAAATCCAGAACATCTGGAAAGTGCTAGATTATTTTTCTTAATTTACACAGTCCAGGCTGTACAATATGACATCTTGCCCCCGGAGGTGAGACAGGCCCCCTCACTCCCGGCCTTTCGGAGGGATTTGAAGACCTGGCTCTGCCATCTGGCCTGGGGCGGGGAGGGAGGTTGTCAGAAATGGGGTTGGCTGGCCCCCTAGAGGCCTAGTGCGGCTTCCATCAGCCTCTTGGATTTTTTTCTCTC